TTTTGGACATTTTTCGTGCATTCCTAATAGTACGTCAGAAACGCTAGAGCGGAAGAGGCGCTTGGTGGGGTAGTGTACAATCAACACGCTTTGAACCACTTTCAGGCCTTTGAAAACGTCGGCCAGAATAAATATTTCCACCTTCAAACCTCGAGGCAGAAGCAACGATTTCAAGAACAACAGACATGCCGAGGTTCAAAGATGAGAGGACTTGGAATTTGTCAGGCTGGTGTTCGTAGCAGTCAGCAGTAACAGCTTCTTTTGGATTCACTAGCTCATAATACACAATACCCTTCTGATCCCACCAAATACACAGCATCACTTTTTTGCAACGGATATTTCGCTTTCGCTGCAAATCCGTTGATTTGCCTCGATCCACATACGCTACTACCCGTTTCGGATTATCGTAGTAGATCCACTTTTCATCCACTGTCCTAATCCGGTGAAGAAAATGTGCCCCTTCGTGGTCTTCGAGGGTATTCCGTAAGCCTCCATGCGTGCTTCGAGCTGCTGTCCTGACTTCTGATGGGGGACCCACTTTCTTGGCTTTCGTATTTTTCCCATTGCGTGCAAGTGTCTCGAAAAAGTCACGTAGTTGACGTTCACCCCCATTGCCAGCTGGAGTATAGGCTGGACTTTCATCCAGCAATGCTCGCAACTGCGAATCCTCAGAGCTTCTCGGCCGACCTAGTTGTTCCTTTCAAGCCAAAGTCTCATTTTGTGAATCGTTGAAACCATTCTCCGCAGATTTACTCAGATGGAGCTTGTTCCTCGTAAGTATATGAAGATCCAGTAAGCCTCTCTGGCAGTTTACTTGAAATCAAACAGCAGAATAAAGGCTCCTCTAGAAAAACGGCTTATCACGTTCCATGCTCAATCAGCTCGAGAGCAACGAGGTTTCCTGGGAAACTGATCTGAGTGCCTTCCAATAGGCGAGCAGTATCCTTTATTAAATATAGCAGGTTTTCCAGGTAAACTTACAACATGGTTCGCGCAACGGCCCCTTAAACTCGGCGGCGGTAATTGACGCACACACCTAATAACTTCAGGGAACTTGCAAAGCTCACTGCCTTCCTTCAGAAGCTCTGCCACCCGCAAACCGCAAACGAATACCAATTCCGTCGTCATGGAAGGACATCCGCTAGAGCGAATTACAATTGGTGATGTGAGTCGACATGATGAGCCGGATCATTCCATTACTTCACGTAAATCTCAATGCAAAGCTTTTCAAATTCATTTAACTGTACGACCAATTTTGGCACCAAAATCGAATCGAGGTACATGGCTAAATGCGTATTGGTGCGGAATCCTACACCGCAGACTCCTCATCGTTGCATGTTTCAAGCAACAGTTTTTCTGAGATCTTGCAGTGCGAAAAACTCCCACGAAACCAGTAACTTTTCTCTGCTTGGCATCAAATTTACCCATTCAGTAGTAGTAGTGTCTAGAAGCTACATTAGGAGACGATACGGTACCCCTAATGAACACACGCTCACAAAGAAAGCTGTTGACTGAAGCATTCTGTTTTCACTTCGCTGAACTCGATGTACAGGGTGGGCCAAAATTATGATTACACAGAAATCACATCGCAGAAAACGAATAGAAAGCCAATAGAGCAGACCAATTTCATTAAAGTGTTTAGCACAAATTTCTTCTCAAAACTGTACATTGAGACTGGGATCTGTTGCTTTCTGCTTTCACCCAACCCCAAAGACGACGATGGACGGCATTGACGGTGGCACGCAGCTAGGGTCATCGAAATG